GCTGTGCTCGCTGCTGCCCCGCGCTGCCTGCCTGCGTATTTGGCTGTCATGGCTGGATGGAGGGAAGGAGCAGGGATGGGGCAGAGGGAGGCTGGAGAGGAGGAGGGGCGGCGAAGGCAAGAAGCAGCGAGGGGAGGAAGCACAGGGGAAGAAGCACGGCACCCAGAGGGAGATGGCAGAGAGCGGCCAGGGAGGGGACGGGTGCGGTAGTGCTGCTGCTGGGGGGGGGGACGGGGGACACGGGCACAGCACAGGGCAGCAGTGGGACGGGGACGGGCAGGGCTGCCAAGTCTGGCACGCAGGGGCCAAGCTCCCTTTCCTCCTGTGCTTAAAACCCGAGTCCTGCCTCGTCCCCCCTCTCCTGCTCCTGCCAGAGGGGTGAATCCATGGCCTCTGCTTGGGTCCCCTCCTGACAGCCCACCTGGGGTGCAAAAGCCATGAAAGGTCTCAGGGGATCACTGGGAGCAGGCAAGGAAGGAGGAAAGCAGGAAAATGGCATTGCTTTGACCCGGTGGAGGTGGTGCCCTGTGCGGAGGGGTGGAGGATGCTGCAGGGAACATGTTGCTCCCTGGGAGGCGAAGGTGGCGATGATGCTGCCCCTGCTTATTCCTGAACCCTCTCTCCAAGCTGCTGTGGGTCTACGGCATAATTTAACCCATGGGGAGAAAGGCGGTGCAGGTGAGCAGGGTGTTCATGTCCAGGTGGGATTTCAGCTCTGGACCAACCTGTCCTGGTCCCTCACTGCAGTTCCCTGTGTGGGTCTTGGAGCCTGAGACCCTTCTCCTGTGTAAAAGCAATTGGATTTCAAGCTATTGATCTCTTTTCTGTGTTGGCCTTCATCCCTGCGTACATCAGGGGAGGTTTAGATTGGATGTAAGGAAAAATTTCTTTACTGAAAGAGTGGTGAAACATTGGAACAGGCTGCCCAGGGAAGTGGTGGAGTCCCCATCCCTGGAGGTATTTAAAAGACGTGTAGATGAGGCGCTTAGGGACATGGTTTAGTGGGCATGGGGGTGTTGGGTTGACGGTTGGACTCGATGATCTTAGAGGTCCTTTCCAACCTCAATGATTCTATGATTCTATGATCATTGCCATCGCTCTGCCAGCCTGTCCCTCCTTTGCTGCTGCCTTTACTGCATCATGTTTCCATCTCTGTTTTGGGCTGGGCTGGTGCCACCATTAATGGGTCTCCGGCACCAAGCTGTAGGCAACAGGCTGCAGCTGCCGGATCCGAGGGTGACAAGTTCAACTCACTTTTTTCCCCTCATCTGCTTCTCTATATTGTAAATCTAAACCAGGCTGCTCCACCTCCCTCTGCTTCCACTTGCTCCCAGCTTGACTTTGGCGGCTGCAGTGAACCACTGTGCATCTCTGCGTACAGCACTTTGCTCTAGGAGCTGCCTAATTCAAAGATGTGACACGGCAGCTTCTCTTTGATTTCTTTGTGTCAAAACTATGGGTTTTACCAGATTTCTTATTTTCTAGGGTTGCTTCTAGGCTTCCTGGGGTCATTCCGCATCGGCGTTCAGCTTCTGCTTAGCAACTCGCTGCCAGGTTTCAATGCCTGGCCCTGGAAGAGCCGTTTGTTTGTTCTTCTTCCAAGACAGGGAACAATAAACACTGGCCGGATCAAAGTCCGGTGCTCAGATGGGTGATACGGGTTTAAATCCCATTGCTGCCAGTGCATCCCAGGTATCTGTCAGCGCCGCTCACAGCCGCCCCATTTCACTTGCAAACAGTGAGGCATCACATCAAATAGGGGCCGGAGAAGAGCAGCCTGGAGGGGTGACTCTCAGAGGATGTTCACGGGGCATCACATTGCTATTTTAGTGTTTTCAGCAATTAATCTGGCAGGAATGGTTGTGATTTGGGGGCTGATAATGGTATCTGGATCCAAGAGTTGGGGAGGCAGAAGCAGCGGGGCAGATGACGGGGGGCAGCCAGGGTGATGGCGTTTCCCTCTGCCATCTCTTAACCACTGCAATTTCTGCCCTTCACAGTGTCAGCAAATTAAAGCTATTGCCTGGGAATCCTAATACAGTCCCCCCTAATACAGTTTCTTTCTAACCTTTTTTAACCCTCCTTTGCTGTCTTTTTTTTTTAGAAGCTCTTTCCAAGGACTGGTTGTTCAAATGAGCTTTAACAAAAAACTATAGTTTCCAGGCTTTCATACCAGCATCTAAGCTTGGCTTGGGGAAGCAGCACTGGGTGGTGTTTATCTGTGTAAGTGTGTGTAAATACCAGCAGTCTCTGAGCAGAGCACAAGTAATGTTTTCTTCCAGGAATATCAAATCATAGAGAAGAGATACCGCCAAACACTTAGAGATGCAGGTTGCCAGAGGCAGTTGTTTTCCTCATAAAGAAATTTTAGTTTGACGACGTCTCTAATCCAGAACAAAAAAAGAAAACGTAGTAAAATATACAGCATATAGCTTGCTGCTTTATATTTACAGCTAGGGGATTAAAAAAAAAAAAAGAGCAGCTTTTTCTCCTGTATTCCTAAGTGTTTCCAAATTGTCCTTAGGTAAGACCGATGCCATTAGGGGGTGGCCAAGGTCGTCCTGCTGCCTTCACAGCCTTTGGTGGCAGACATCAGGTAAGCGTGGGACGAGGTCCTGGCTTGCTCTGCCACTGTGAGAGGCACAAAGACCGTGTAGGGACAGTCCCCCAAGCCGGGAAATACCCCAGCCTTCCTCCGCAGAGAGGGCTTTGAGGACGAGGAGGGGGAGGAATCGGAGACATCAGGGTCACGCGTGAGCGTGGACATACCCACGCACGTTACTGCCCATGCCTCCATACAGGCCACCTCCTCCTTACCTTACTACAGGCAGTTTTGCTCTTTCAGAGCATCAGGAAGCTGAGTAAATGCTGTCAAATCCTGTTAGCTGCCATTAGCATTTTCTGTTTCGCAGCTGAAACCCTCCGTTTCCTCTGAAAGCCACGATGCCCGCCGCAGCCATGGTGACAGAGCCTGGCTCTCCAGCCACCCTTACGCGGGGCGAAAAGCGTGGCACTGAAATTCATCACAAGGCAGATGCCAGCGGGTGTCACACGGTAGCTCTGTCGTCTGGGGCTGCTGGAGGTGTTTATCAGCAACCCCGTGTGACGAGCAGGGTTTAACCACTGCTACGCTAGCTCACACGAGCATTTATGTCTTGTGCTTTGCTGTTTGCATTTAGGGCTTCCCGCTTGGTTAATAAAATTTCTTGTACTGGGACAAAATGCACCAGTGATTTGCAGGTAGATGTGGAGCAAGTGTGAGTAACCATGCAGAGGGGAGGGTGCTGGCCAGATTTGGGGCAGGGGAGCTGCGCCGGTACATGGCTGCTGATCTGGGCCAACATCACCTGGATATTTTGCTGCATTTTCTATGCTCTGTCCTGGCATTTGCTTTAGGGCAACAGGCAGTTTTGTAAGGCTCTGACGTTCAGCAGATCGGTAGCCTCCAGCTACCTGCAGCTCCGTCCCAGCTGTGCCCCTTCCCTGCACTGGCTGCAGGAAGAGGGTCTCTCCCTCCCTGCAAAAGGAGCAATTTGTGGATGAGAACTGGCTTATTGACCCAGGGGACCAACGTACCTCTTAGCATTTGGCATTTTTTTGTGCAGGTTTCTATGTCAAGTGTGAACGAGGCACACGCGTGACGCAGCTGCTGGGCTGAGGGCTCAGCGGAACGCTCGGATGCTTGGGGCTTTGCATAACTATATTATAATGCTCCTTCTACAGCATCTTCCCTTCCGAGACTTTCCAAATCCTTTAGAGACATTAACTTCTTCATTAGGTCTGTGAACAATTAACAGGAGATTAAACCAGCCTGTGTGTCCACACCATTGCTGTACCTGGGTAAGATCGCAAAACAATTTACCTGTTTCTCCTGGCGCTGTTCCCATTTTGGGGGTCTTGGTCACTTTGTGCGCTGATGTGTATCAACAGCAGAGTTAAAGGATGTGCTGCAACAAGTACTGAAAGTTAATCCTGACTAATCGGAGCAGATTAGCAGCGCGCTCGGCCCCGTTTGACTCCCTGCGTGCTGTGTTATTCGGGCTGAATTTGTGCCCTCGAAAGCACTGATGCCGAAGTGCAAACCCTGCCTGTGAATTCAGGCCTTTGATGGGAGAAGTTAAAGATTAACTTGCTTATTGTTTATGTCCAGAAGAAGACAGGGGGGAGAGAGAGAGACCCCCCTATGCGCGGCACCTTACGTGGCCCCCTGCGTGGGGAGGGCTTCGGACCCGGGGCTGCCCCAGCCCCCCGGGCAGGATGGTCCCAGCTCACTGCTGCCCGAAGCACTGGGAGCGGTGGTGGCCGAGCTGTCGCCGGTGCTGGGGCAGAGGCTGGTGGAGCCATGTTTGGGGTTTCCGAGGTGGCTGCTCTGCTTTGGGGTGGGTGCCCCAGGCACGTTGGCAGGTATCTTTCCCACTAGGGAAGTGATCGTGCCCCTGTACTCGGCACTGGTGAGGCCGCACCTCGAACACTGTGTTCAGTTTTGGGCCCCTC